TATTTCGATGGAGTTGTACAGATTAAAATTTCTACCTGCTCCCACAATACAGTATATATATATATATATATATATATATATATATATATATATATCCAACACTCCTAACTCTTTGGCCGGTTTCGTCCTGGTTGGGGCTTTTCCGAGAGAGACGATCGGAGAAGGGAATAAAACTTGGGATGCAGGCGTTCAGGGCTAAAACCCTGATCACTAAGCCACTGAACTTCCCGAACAACGCTTGCCCCAGCCATCAGGAATTCAGTGTTGGGTCTTGGAATAGTAGTCGTGCATTTAGATTGCGACACGGCTTGATTCGAAGTGTTGCTTGTCTAGCCTAACAACCTAGTGAACGAAGCGTCAGCAAAGAACCACCATGTCTCAGGTTTCACGCTCATCTGTGATTATATTGAGCTGATGAGTCCAAACGAAATGAAATCGATCGTGAAGTGTCAGTGATTGGAACAAGCATCAGCGAAAGTTTGAATCTCGGATACGGTCCAACAATCTGAATGACAGAAGTTCATCTCACAGTAAATCTTAGTCTCGCGTGAGATTGCATCTCAGGATCCAGATTGATGGTGAATACTCCAGAACCCAACAATCATGACTACTTCTTCAAACTTCAACCATAACCTGCGTCGGCCATCGCGCAGCATATTAAGGGTCGCCTTATCTGCTACATACAGAACGGCGGATAAACGAAAACATGCTACTGCTGGCGACACCCTACTTTATTTTCCAACTGTTTCTCTTACTCCCTCCAAGTCCGCATTACTAAGCTTCCTCCTATAATTCCCACTTTAAATGACAGCAACTCTTATATCACTGGAGTCATATTGTCTGCAGCTATCTTCCCGCACCATCCACTGGACCTCAATCCCTAACATCTCCTTATAAGGCCACATTGTTTCGTTTCGCTGGCGGTGTTCAACGTTCGCACTCTAAAGTAACTAAGTCAACAGGCTGTACTCGCATGCAAGCTGGACAACCTAGGTATTGACATGTGCTGCGTACTCGAAAATAGGATCAATGACCCTCGTGTGGTTGTCCAATTGATTGCACTCACCTTGTCCTCTCGCTATTGGTTGCACGCAGCCGGATATGCTGATGCGGCAAACACTGGACAAGCTGCAGTAGGTACTGTACTCAGCTCCAAGGTTGAGCTATCGTTCATTGATTGGATTCCCGTGAACAACCGTTTATGTGCAGTCCGTTTGACGACATCAACTAAAGTTAATTCACGGAGTAGCACTAGACTCTGTTTATTTGTGGTTTACGCTTACATCCCATCGATTGTAGGTCTGATTATGCCAAGTACGCCTTCTACCACGAACCGCATACGCTACTACGTAGTGTTACCAGTTCAGACATATTAGTTCCTGCAGGGGACATGAATGCGCAACTAACTCGTCTGAGCTCTTCAAAAGTTTTCCAGGTGATAAGTATGGATTTAACTCTGAACGGTGTGACAACGGTGAGCGTCTTGCTACAGCTATGTGCGAAGCACCAGCTGTTTCTTGGTAGTACAGCTTTCAGAGGCAGTGGGCGCCGAAGTATCATTTGGCGTCCTCCTGTAGCTGACCAGTGATGGACCCAAATAAATCACGTTAACATAAGTAACGTGGTTCCATCCTGGATTGTCGCTCATTCTGGAGTACTTGCGTCGACTCAGATCATGCCTTGGTACGCTGTCGTTTTCCCATGATTTTAACCGGGAGGCGTACTAACCGCCTCTCTCGATGGGCAACCGAGCAGTTAGCCCTCGGTCAGGCAAGCCTACCAGGATGCACTGCGTACCGAAGTTTCGCTGTCTTGTCCTGATGAGACTGAGCTTTAATGGAATAGGATCTCGGTGGCCATGCAACATGCAGGATCATCAGCTTGTGGCACTATCGATCGTCACTGTAGCAGTCACTGAATATCCGAAAGGTCGGTGAAGGTTTTGTAATGAGGAAGAAAACTCCCGACTTGCTCTGAGCACAATGTTACTAGACGAGCTATTAGACACGAATTAAAGCGGTCTGCGTGCTGACAAGGAGGTTTGGTGGACCAGTCGGGCTCAAGAAATGGAGAGACCAGGAGCAGCGGGCTATTATCGCAAGTTTTTCCAGATGATCCGCACCACTGGTCCCAGGAAACCAGGCGTCAGTGAGACAGCCAGAGACAGCGCGGATGCCCTGACTCACAATAAGGAGCGCCGTATGGCTCGTTGGGTAGAGGACTTCCGAGATTACTTAAGTTGTCCTCATTGCTCCTGGACTTCGTCCTACTCAGATGGTGCAGGCTGAGTCATGGCCGACTAGTTTATAGGCCCAGTAGGAGGTTAAAGTTCGAAACGCAATCGCAACCTTTAATTGTCTTCGTACTGCTGACTAGTATTCCATCGGACCTCCACTATTTAAGAATGTTGATATCTGCAAAGTACAGTTCTCTCTGTTTGAACAGGTCTGGAAGTGATTAACTAGAGTTAATTGGTTACAGTGGCAATATACAAGAAAGGCAGTCGCACCGGTGGCGACAAAGTTACTGGCCCTAATTCTCGTTCGTCACCTCACTGCGGAGCGAGAAGCACGGATTAGAGAGGAGCAGGAAGGCTTCCTCCCAGGACGGGGTAGTAGAAACCATATTTGCTTTCTGCGACAGGTGCTAGAGCAGCGGCACAAGTACCGAGGACCTACAATAGCTGTGTTCCTGGATTTAAAAAGTGGGTTCGACTAAGTCGACCGATGCCTTCTGTTCGAAATAGTTGTGCGAAAAGGTGTACCCATGAAATATATGAACATTTTACGTGCTCTGTACTGGGACGCGACAGGCTGCGTCAGGGTTTGCGTTGATTTGTCGGATGCTTTTCCGTTAACAAGTGGCGTTCGTCAGGTTTGTAGAAAGTAGAAGTCACGATTAAAATTCACACAATAATCTGCCTCGACGGGGAATCGAACCCCGGTTCCACGAATTTCCGGTCCGCTGCTCTACCACTGAGCTACCGAGGGCTGACGATTAGGTGTGCACATTTTAACACATGACTTCTGCTTGGTGTACGACGTTTGTCCAATTTCCCAATGTTGTTCAACTTCGTCATGGACATGAACAGTCGCTCGATGCAAGTGCTGTCCGTTGAAAAGTCAGTTGTTGTCGCAGGACCACCAGCCACTTGGTGACCCTTTGGTGGCGAGGAGCGCGGCGTAGCTGGTCACGTCACCTACCTTGGCAGCACCTCATCGCAACGATGAACACATAGCAACTGAAGTCAGTTCACGCATTGCAAAAGCCAGAAGGGTCTTCTGGAATCTGCGACATCTGTGGCGTCAGAAAGGGGTTTCCCTCCGTCTAAAAGGCCATGTATACAAGGTCACAGTGAGGGCCGTCCTATTCTATGGGAGCGAGACAGCCCTTCCGAGCTAAGGACATGCGGCACCTTCAAGTCATCGCCGTCTGCGAAACAGGGTGTCCGCAACGATGATGTACATAAGCGAGTACTATGCATTGATAACCGAACTAGCTCATTAGAGCAACAGATATAGCACTGAATAAGTTGCGTTGGCACGGGCCCGTATTACGTATGCCTTGTCATTGATTACCGAGAAGGGCTTTGTTTTGTCTTCCAGATGTACGGTGCCGCAGTGCCCGAGGTGGGCGAAAATTAACTTGACAGCAGGAAATGAACTCACTGACGACCAAATTCGGTGCCGGTGGTCCGTCTCGCCTTCCGGACTGGAGTCCACGTGACCCGCCTTGTGTTTGTTTTGAGACGTTACAGGGTATGGCTTGCAGTTGATGCCAATGGCGTGTCTGCCACAGTTTCCTAGTCGGACTACCTGTTTGAAGTGTGTTTGGTACTGAGTTATCTGCGGGGTAATGGCTAATTATGACGTGGGTGAGTGAAAGACGCAAGGAAGCTGTATCTTCGATGCCGCCTTACCTTTGCACGGTAGTCAGCTGTCTGTGACCGTATGTTGTCTATACAAGGTGTAGGCGCCTTGACCCCGAGGGTTTGTTTAGGGCATTAAGGTTTACCGCAGGTCCCCCTTCTCTCCCTGTTATTGTTCTTCGTTCCGTAGGTCACGGTGGTTGTACGGCAACAAAGCATCAGGATAGATAGCTGATGAACTGCTGTTGATGATGATGATAATGAACCACCCCTGTATCGTTTTGGTCAAACATGGAATTCCTGTATCATATGTGTGGTTTGATTTGACAAAGGATTGAATCTGGATGTATGCTGCCCCAGCGCTTATGCACGGATTCACAGGTAAATGATGGTTGATGATAACATGGGGTAACTAGCCGTCCTTGGTAGTGAACCGTTACTGACCTATCAAGTGGGGAACTGACGTTCAGTAAATGGATAGAAGCCGAAGCAGCGCATACCAAAAAACATCAGGCCGATAACAGGCAAACAATAATATAAGCGTCATTTCTTGTAACGCATCGATTAAATCAGTCAATAGGCGAGCACACTTGGCGAATGCGGATAGCCAATAAGAAGGGCACAACAGCAGTAGTGGCTACGAGGAGGCCACACGTACTTCAGATGGGAGATAATTCCCCTGCGATGTTGGCAACTGGTATGTAGCTGCATAATGTAGCAATGAACATTTCGCGGATTGGTGTAGAGGCCGGGAAGGCAGGTGTGTTTGTACACGGTCATCTCCCTTAAGTTATAAGTCCCGACGACTAGGTACCAAGAAGAGGTACTGATGTACCGCAGTCAAGAACAATGTTATGCCATCGACGATTGCCAGGGCATCAATGTGAGCAAGTGGCTCAAAGAGGGCATGAAGTGCAATGCACAGGAAGGGCACGGCTCATGTTTTCCTCAACGACAAACGAGCGCGGTACAGCTAACGACACAAGGAGGATGACTGGAGTACGGGAAGATGCCGACTGTGTAAACGAAGTTAAGCAACCATGTAAAAGATAAATTTACGTGGTTGCACTGAGATCATCGCTCAATCTCTTTCAGTGAATGGCATCGATGAAGGACAATGGAAACCACTTACTATCCAATTTGGCCATATTTTCCTGTTTCCACATGAAGACCATGTACAGCTCACGGCCGTTGGAACGTCGGGCGACTAGCCACACATGTGAATCCAGGCGAACCGCGATTTCCTCGTGCCAAGATGAGGGTCTGCATGAGTCAAAATGTAAAAAAAACACAAGTATCAGAAGAGTGAACAGAGATAACCGCTCTTGAACGCGATCTACCACAGGCTGGATGGCTCAATAAAGCAGTAGTTGAATGTTTTTCCAAAAAATTTATGCGAAAAATGGCAGCGCCTGATAATGAATTCCCGTGGCGGAGCTGTACGTTACCGGGTGTGTCCCCAGACTGCGGGTTTGGATATGCCTACCTTGTAGAGGTAAATGCTTTGCGAGCGAGACGAATAAGCGGTCGCGGACCATCAGAGGCAGCGTCTTAGAGCGTGGGAAGTTCTGGGCTGGTCACCAGGTTCTCCAACAAATAATACAACAGCTCGTACGGCGGTGTGTCAAAACCAATGCGACCAGTTATCGGGTAAATGGCTACTACCGTAATCAGAAGTGAATAACTAACGGATGGCCAGTGCATAACCTGGCTAGCCATCGGTTACTGTGTGGACTACTACCGAACACCCACAAGATGTGAGCGACTTGGCTGTCAATGGTCTTCGTATTCAGTAATTTGCGTGAATCGCCCCGCTGTCTTGTGGGGCGTGGGTGTGGTTTTCAAGGCTAAGTTCCAGCAATAAATAAATAAATGGGTGCATTCCACGACGGGCAGGAACCGACACCTTTTGTAGAACGACCACAGGAGAAGTAGAGAACACAACGAAGACGACATACATGCCAAAATTCCGGAGAAACAACGAATGTATGGTAAGGAAGGAATACGTCAAAAGTGAGAAATATTGCAAAAAAATCAAAGAATAACAGGTGAATTTTCTGGAAACGTATCTCTAATCCATACAGACTATCCCATTAGGATGAGATGCACCCTTCGGTCGCAGTCACTGAAACAGTGTACATGCAGCGGTCAGAATATGAAATGCTGCATTGCACAGTGTAACTAGAACTACAGTGTATGACGCATAGGTCTGTCGCAGTTACACTGAATCAAACGTCGACTGGATAGCCATAGGCTTGAAACTAAGAGACGCAGCGGCCGTCTAGCGTTTTTCTGAATGTGCTGTGGGTGTGTGATTGGTTGTAGTTGCGACGAATCTCTATCGAAAACCGGATCATCGAGAGGGGAATTCCGAAGCAGCGTCGGTCAACAGCGAAGGCTGGCGACGACTATGAGACCAAAGAAGTGCAACAAATTCAAACGCTTGGTCGTGCTAGAACCTGCGTGTAAATTATGGAACTAAATCTAAGCTGGGAGTTCGAGTTAGAGACTTCAGTCACAAAAATGAGTGGATTTCTCGTCGTCGCTCGCCACTCACACTAAGCACAATACTTAAAGGTTGCTTTCATCAATGAATGTAGCATTCAGCTAGTGATGAAAGCGAGTTGAATAGATAAAAGAGTGAGACAATCACGGGATGTAATCGTTTCCCCGCAACCACCAGTGATCAAAGACGGCCAGGCATTTAAAGTGTGGCCAGTTCTCTAATCTATACAGCAACACCGGTCTTATCGCATCATTGTACATCCAACTCCTCGCTGACAAGCTGATATTCTGCCGTCTTCATAAATGTGTGTTTTTGAAAAGCCACACGGACCTTGTTGATACGTTAAACAACTCCTTAAATAATTTGACCACCAGAGGTGACCGAGCTACCAAGTTAAGTGGACCGATCCACCAGTTCTAGTGGTTGGTCGGGAACAGCTAAAACCGGAGGTGTGTCGGCCGAGTCCTGCAACAGCACATTGTACGTAGAAAATGAAAAGTACATGCCAGAGCGTCGTGCAGCGCTACGCACGAATCTGTTCAGTAATGTATACACAGCTACTGCGTCAGACCTAAGGAGAGCAATGTCGTCCGTATACTCAAGTCAATCATCCAGCAGAACATCAATTGCGATAGAGTCTGAAAAAACCGAGTCATTTATGATCATTTTGATCATAAACATGAAGAGGAAAGAAGATATGGGACAATCCTGACGAACCCCAATTGTCGTGAGGGACTCGTAAGAAAACTTTCCGTAGACCCTTAAACGGCGTCCAGGTGGAGATTTAAGAATCGAAAGTTTGCCACACATTCTTTGCACGGAGAGGTAGTGCCACAAGCTGTTTCAGTCAACAGAGCCGAATGTGGCTTTCAAGCTAAGGAAAATCATCACAGTCGGTCGTCTGTGTGTCAATGCTTCGACACTTGACGACGAGCAAGTACGTGGTCGATGCAACTTCGGTCAGTGCATCCTGGCGTTCAGTGATAAGGCTCTCCTGAGGACAAGTAGGTTGTCGAAAAACGTTATCCATGAGAAATTTAGAAATAACAGTAATAAAACTAGTGCATCGAAGTGTTTTACAAAAAGTACACTGGCCCTTGAAGATGAACAGAACAAGCAATAGTCTGAAGGCGCTCTTTAGTGTCTCAAATCATGGCATTTGCGCGCGCGCCGAGTTCACTTGCTTTCTGCTAGCTGGACACACCGGTATCAGCGCGTGTCAGTTTAAGGCGGGGTTAAGCATTAATTGAATTGTTTTAAATTGTGCGAAGCGATGTATTTGATGCTAGACACAATACGTGTCGCATAGTGCCGAAACTGACGTGTTCTGCTGTCTTGCGCTACGAGCCGAATAGTTCGTTCTGTTGAGAATTGCAGTTCTGTGAGGACCGAGTTGTAACACAAATGGTGTTGAATAGATCAGAAAATGCAGTCGATAAATAGTCGCCCTCATCATGCGACAAACATGAAGGAAGGTTGGCGGGTCTGTGAGTACTCTTTCATTCAATCCCGGTAAATTTAAGTCAAATCTCTTCTAAAGTAGGCGTGTAACACCAAATGCCCATGTCAGTTCAGGTGTTTCAGTAGGCGGCGGTGTTGCAGTAAGCCAGTTAAATTGCTCTTCTAAATGTCCTGCCAAACGAGCTGTGCGGGGCAGGTGCGAATGGATCGACTGTCTATTTCAGCTACTCTTTCGCTGAGGGTTTCCTTGGACCGGTGTTCCAATTGAACCGACGGTTATCAATAGCCCTGGTCTTCTTCATCTCATAGGTTCTTGTCACCAACCAACGTTCCTGGTCGATTCTAGATATCAGTGTAATAACACGAATCAAATTCAGTACCAGTTTGAACTTGTTCGCATGGTTAGATCAAACTGATTGATGCCTCAGAAATACACACGGTTCGGACGTCACAAGTTAAAAGTATATAAGTATATCTCGTGGCACACTTGAGATGATTCCAGTCAACACTCGGCGTAACAGCTTCATTCGTTACCGACAATTTGTGGGGCATTACGTCACGATGTTGAATTGTAGATTGTGAGTTCAGGTTACGAATGAGAAGCTTAAAAGTCAAGCGCTTCTTTGAAGCTGGCCGAGTGAATGCCTGAGGTGCGTGTAAGGTGTTACCTACACTGTGTGTGCCATAGAACACAAAACACAAAAGTATCGAGTAAATTTCGAGAGTAAACCGGAGCGAAAAGGAAATTCGGTGACTTGTAAGACCGGCGCAGAAAGCACACAAGTGTATAACATAGCTAACCAAAAGGTGCCGAGGAGAGCTAATTTGCAAGTCAAGCACCTAAAGTCCTTGGACAACACGAATAGGATTTACCAAAACAGCCTTCGTATGCTTTGGGCGCTTAGGCGCAGCTTCAGCACGTGGTCCGAAGAAATTGCCTCTCGCCTCTTCGTCTCAATAATACAACCTATGGTAGAATATCGCTCCCCCGTGTATCGTCCTATCACCCGGCCCGAGGTAGAAAAGATTGAGCGAGTGCAGCGTGTATTCACCAGGCTGATTCCCAACTTACGAGGTGAGCCGTAGGAAGACCAGTGTAAGAAACTAGGGCTGTACACACTAGCTTATCGTCGACTGAGGGTTGACCTCATCATGACGCACAGGATATTACATCTGGGTGATTACCCTATGTTGAGACCACTGCTTCATCTGCGCAAACCAAGCAGCACACGAGGACACCGGTAAAAGCTTGTCGTACCGGATTTGAAGCGGGTCGCTCACCAACTCTGTTCTGAACGCAGAGTGGTGAAGGTATGGAACGACCTGCCGCAGTCCGTAGTTGAGGCAAGGTCAGTGTTGGAATTTAAGAAGTTCCTTGACAAACACTTTGCTGACGCAAAATATATTGAGCGAAACACAACATAACGGGTATTTGTCCATGAGTGACGACTGATGCAGCTATACAGAGCAAGCTCTACTCGCTGCTTCTAACTAGTAATCAGTACAACACGGTGGAAGTACCTCAGGAGCAATTCATGCCGCAAGCTGACTAACATCTCCAGTATCGATTTGGCTCCAGTGAGCTGACGTCGGCCGGAACCTGTGTAAACGTGTAACGTCGTCATCACGGCACATGTGGATGGGTTCCAGTAAATGAAGCGCGATTTCCCCAATGGTAAATTGGTCACATCGGTGGCTTCATCCGCAATATCCTCGGTGGCAGCCGTAGCTACTTCCTCCTCGATTGATGACGAACCGAAAGCTGAGAGAGAGATCGGGTTGAAGATGGAGGTTTCATCCATCGCAAGAAGGGGAAACATACTGGAGGAAAGAAATCAGGGTGGTTTGGGATGAAATGGAACAAGTGGCAACCTCAAGGTTCAATCAAAGCAAAGGAACTAAAGAACAGGTCATATGAGGCAAGTAGCTGAGAGAGAGACCACGAGAATCTCAAATAAACTCGTACTATAGTGCCGGGCAATATAAAGAGCAGAAATAGACCATTCATGCACACCCCAAATAGAAAAGACAGAAGGGCCCATGGATAGTGGCTACGCAGTTGGCGATCTTGGTAGATTATGTTGAGGCAGATAAAAACGTGTGTGAAAACAAAAATAAAACTCTGTAAGTGAGATTGTACCTTAGTTCAGTGTGACGAGCATCCAATGAGAAGGAAGAGCTGACACAGAGAACAGACTCGGTGACAAAATCGCGTCTCTACGCATCCATTGGATGTTTGGCGAAAAAGAACTGGATAATACTTACAGAGAGTGACCTCGCTAGCACTCTTTGAATAAATATCATCTCTAAAACACCAAGCAGTGCATTGAACAAAAACGCAAGGGCTCCAAACTGTACCACAAAAATCCTCGTTCTGAGTTTCCCGTGCAAGGATGTACCATAGCAGTGATTTTCCAAGGCTCTGAATTTGTACGCGGCTGAGGAGACTACGGGTTTCCCTAGGATCAACATCCGTGTTAACAGCTAGATTAAGAAAACTTCGGCTCATGTAATCAGCGAGAAACATCACTTTGTGTGCAGTTTAGCGTAGATCGATGACGGGCCATTAGAACAACAACAAAAAACCCTTTCACATGATGATCCTTAGATTCACTTTAATCTCTGTAGCATGTACACACCAACGTCAGTGAAGTACCTAGGGGTTATTAATGATCTTCTGTTTACCGTGGGCACTACATGTGGGTGAAGTATTTACCAACGTCAGCAGACTGGTATTTAACGACCTTTGGACTTTCACATTACACTGTTCTCAAGTCATTTGTAAGAGTCTAGTGGTCAAATATCTCAGATCATTTACCTGGGAAAATTCTCACCCATGAGCCATCCCATCCGAAGCGGAATAAGTCTACTTCCTCAGACGGAAGAGTACAAGATCACGGTAAGTTACGTTAGGACCGACGGTTCACCGGTAGTTATTAGTCTGGTGCGTATAGTTGTTGAACCAAGGATTCTCCAGTGGTGCTACTCTTGTGCATGAATTTCAGACTGCTGCTTTTACGTACTTGTGGTGCACTACTAATGAGTAGTATGGGGAAAGCAAGCGCGACGAACTCAGTAAATAATGAATCACCGCAGACGACGGGCGCGTAGTGCACAATGCAACTAGCCCTGAAAATAGATGGCGCTGGAGTGTTGAACCTATACCGCACCGTCACGTCAAGCTGAATCAATATCACAAGGCGCAGAGTGGAATCAAATGGTACCACGAATGGTGTGTGCAAATTAGTCCGACTGTTCGATGTGCTATCCCACGTATCGGTTCGTTCCCGGTACACAACTTGTTCGCGCCGCCTCACTTTTTCCGCAGTTGGTATGGTGATCAGTCAGACAAGGAACATAAGGCCCCGTAGCCAGAGGTTGTTGAGGTTTGGGATGTGCGACGATCCCTGGAGGACTTTGATGTTTCAAAAGCAGGATCGAGCGCAGCTGGTTGCGCTTCGGAGTCTACAGCAGACGGGCGAAGATCCTGGGGCGGCAAGAAGAGGCCCAGTCAAGTTCGAATGGGCTGCCGCGAAGGAGCTGATTGTGGGGTTCGACAACGGCCGAGCGCCACGGTGCGATGTGGCGCTTTAAGGCGGCTCGGCTTGGGCCAGGAGCGGATCTGGTCGTGTTTGCGGTCCATCTCAACGGCATGTTGAATTGGGCGCTGCCAGATTTGGACGACGCGACAAGACAGCAACTGTGAGTGGAACAGTTTCTGGACGGTCTACCTCCAACGAAGGCGGAGTGTGGACGCCACCCAGAGATTCGGCGTCGTGGAACTCGCTCCAGTGGCAGGTTAGTAAAGGAGCCAGCAGCAATATTGAGGATCGAAGACCAAAAAGAGCGAGCGATTGGACAGGTTAGAAGAAGCTGGAGAAGATTACGCAAGGCATGGGGACACTTCGATTTGCCCGTCAGAGGACACGTCAAAGTGGGCAATGCACCTTTTGTGGGAAACCGGGATACTGGAAGCGGCGATGCCCATCAAGGCGCACTACAATCTTTGTACCAGTATTGTTCTCGTGTTGGAGAGTGCATACTTGAGGCCTGAACAAAGGTGCGATTGAAGCAATGGTACAGGTGAATGGAGCAACAGAGAGGTGTTTAATCGATACAGTAGCCGCAGCCTTCCTGATAAACCACCGAGATGGAGTGAAAACCCAATCGTGTTCCATGGTGGCTAAAGCGGTCAGTGGTTACGAGATACGTATAAATGGCATGGCGGAGCACGTGGTTGCTATCGGGGGTCATAAATTCAACCATTTCTTCGTGGTGTCGCAGAACGCGAAACAGACCACTCTGCGGGACAGACTTTCCCCAAGCCCATGAGGCCATCGCCGACCTAAAAAAAGAGGAAAGCTGATGACGAAATACGAATCTATACCCCTCGCTGGTAGGTAGGTGGAAGGATGCACCCGGGTATGCTCAGTCCTTGCCGTAGTACACACTAGTATAGCCCTCCAATCGCTTGTCGGCAAATACAAACTTCTCTTCACAGACGATAACAGCCCCTACGGGTTTTGTGATTGGCTCGAACACACAATTCCGCTTTCGCGGCAGCCGTATCGGCCGCATGGACCCAGAAGAATACCAATCCACCTGGAGGCCGAGGTCAAAAGGCAGGTTCAGATGTTGTATGCAGGTGTAATCGAGTTCACAAGCTGTATAACTCCCAGTCGTTTTGGTGAAAATGGCCAACGGAAAATACCGATTTTCCGTGGACCTCAGAAGGCTGAGGAAAATCTCACTGAGTCATTTTGGCCCAGTGCCATCAGTCGCAGACATTTTCGACAAACTGCAGAATCCAGATATTCACAGTACTGGATTTGAGATCTGGCTAATGACAGCTGGCGACTAAACAGGAGGACCAAGAGTTGAGCACGTTTAAAGCTGTCGAGAAGCAGTACCAATTTAAAAAGATGCTGCTTTGAATTATCTGGTGCCCCGATCACTTTCCGGCGTTTGATACACCGCCTACTGGATGAATTAGAAAACGTAACCGTGTATAGAGAGGACATCATGATATACAGTGAATCGGAGGAAGATCACTGCCCTCATTTGGAAGCAATGTTGCAAGGGATTCAACAGTCAGGATTACGGATAAATGGTTGTGTCTCAACTTGGAAAAATGTCCGTGACATGCCTTGGTCACAAGATGGGTCAGAGTAGCTGAAGCCACCGCCGGAGAAAATATTGACAATTCGAGACACCCCAGTTCCGATCTCGAAGCGCAGTCTTAGGGCATTTTTGGGCCGCGCCGGATACTGTTACAGAATTCAGTCCTTCAGGGACAAAGTCAAATGGGCAAAAGTTACAGCACGTTTGGTAGGCCAAACTCCTCGTCATAAGTTGCGCATTCAAGTCTATAACTAACGACCCTTATGAGTCGATGAGATACCTCATTTGCCTCCGTTAAACAAACAGTGAATCACTCACATGAATATCGACCAATCCGAGTCCAGTAATGGAATCCGTTGCATCCGCTTCCCATTGGTTGTCTGGCTCGCCCGGTTGACGTATCCGCTCAATCAGTGCTAACACTCCCACCACATCCTTCTATTTTTCGTGCTGTTGCGCCTCCATATTGCTATCCACCCCGTACATCTTGCAACTCCGCGTAGTCTTCACTATATCTGCCGCCATGGTCTCGTTGCCCCACGCCATCTGGCGCTCCACTCCCAATACACAGTATTGTCTCCGGTGTCGTCACAAATGCACCCGATTTCTTCTGAAAGTTTCCCTCCAACGTTTATTTCGTATGACCTGGAACCGAGCCTCGCAGTCACCACACCTTTCTTCCACTACTCTCGACTATTGGGTAATGGTTGAACCCACACTTCCTCCACCACTGTTAGCTCACGTAGTACCCGTGCACAGTGGTCGTAGTACCGTTTTTGAGTGGCCATTCGTCGTCTCAGATTGTTCTGTAACCTTTCTTGCTATGGAGAAACTGGGAGCAAAACTGTGGCAGATGCCGGCATCAGAGTTCTGATCCTTCGCCTGTACAGCACAGCATTGGGCTCAAACCGATATTCGTTGAAGGAGTGTTGCGATTTTCCAGTAGCATGAGATGCGGGGAATCGCAATTTGCTCTAGCCTTAGATACCAGCCGCTTGGCCTGCTTTACTGCCGACTCCGATTGACTGTGATATGGGCTGGTTTGCTGGTGCACGAATTCCCACTTGGTTGTGAAGGCCTGGAACGCAGCACTGGCAAACGGGTTCATCGTCGGAAACACGCTCTTTCGGTATACCGTGCCACGCGAACTGACATCTGAGCTTGTTGATTACTGCCTCTGTGGTCGTAGTGGTGACAAGATTGATTTCAAAATACTCACTATAGTAATCCACCGTGAGTAAGTACTCTTTGCCGTTATCACTGAATAAATCCACCGCCACTTTCGGTCAGGGACATCATGCAGCATCATTGGTTCCCTTGTCTGCCGGATTTCGTGTGAACCGCACCCCTCAAAATACGATACATGATCGCTTGACCCGTCGTTCCTGGCCGAAAGATCAATTACCTTTGACCAGACGTGGCAAAATATCCTCTAGGGTAGATAGCGTATACTCCTCTCTGCGCAAAGCCTTATTCAACGGTTTCGGGTCAATACACATACGCAGTTCAGCCATCTTCTTCGTAATGATTGTGACCTGTCTAACCCAGTCGGTTGGCTCGTCGACTTTGGTAAGCACACCCTCTATCACTAATTTGTTCAATTCATCGGAGAACCTGTTGCGCAACGCAAATGGAACTCCCCTGGCCGGTAGCGCTATCGGCCGTATCAAAGGACAAGCGA